TAACTAAGTCTAATCCATACTCTCGGATCAATGACAAATGACTATGCCCAATCCATACTCTCGGATTGATGACATATTTTAAAGTTCTACCCTCCGTGTATATCTCACTTGTACTCATAAGAATATACTACCTGATATTCCTCTTAATTAATTTAGGTTTACTCTGTATCCTAAATCATCATATATTATCATATATGCTCTTAACACGTATTTCAGGCAATAACAAATATTTCACACACATATATTTAATACTTTAATCAGTACTTGTATTAAAATCATGTTCGTGAAAGGGACTATGCACTCACATTAGTAACGTGATTTCATAGAATCTAACTAGAAACGGTGAGCGGTTCGTGATCATCGAGCTCGGGAAGGGAAACGGCCTTCGGAAAACCAGAAAGAACGAAAATAGAAGGTTTAAGGAATGAATGAGTCGAACTTGCTATTTATAGGCTGATTTTTGGTCTCCCATGTCATAACAATCAATGCTCACGTCGTGAGCCATGGCTGTATCAACCCGTAGACTTGCCATATGCGTTAATAGCTTCGAAAGGTGTCCGGATGACTTCTCACGTCGTGAGAATGATATGCTCACGTCGTGAGCTTCCAAGAGTCATCCCGTAGCCTTCCCAGGTGTTTTCTAGCCTCGATTAGTGTCCGGTTGACTCCTCACGTTGTGAGGAAACATGCTCACATCGTGAGTCCAGTCAGATTATGGTTTCTGACATGTGTCATGCTCTCAGACAGCTACATCTTTGGAAGATCATAACTTTTGCATATGAGCTCCGTTTTTGATGTTCTTTATATCCACGCGTAGGTGGAGACGTACTCTACAACTTTCATTTAGTTCACTAAGGCTAAAAAATAATATATCATAAACTCACTTTCTTTTTACGATTCCCGGTGTCATGTCGGTTTTGTCGTGAAACTTCGACAGGTCATAACTTCTTCGTTATAACTCGGATTTCGGCGTTCTTTATATGTACGGAATCCTTGTGACATATACTATAACTTAGTTAAGATTATTTATTCTAAATATTATTCTATCAAAAATTCGTTTTTGACGCTTATTGTCTCTAAATTAAGTAGCCCGAATCTGCGGGCGTTACACCCGAGGGTATTCCATCCCGAGGATGATTGGACCCATAGTATGTTGGAATTCCAACTCGATGGTTGAGGGCATGGGGTATTCCAACCTGATGGTTGAGTGGACCCATAGTATGTTGGCATTCCAACCTGATAGTTGAGGGGCCTGGGATATTCCAACTCGATGGTTGATTAGACCCATAGTATGTTGTTATTGTATATATGTTATTTGTTTGTGTGTTGGTACTTTGGGGGAAACTCACTAAGTTTCGGGCTTATAGTTTTGGGTTATGTTTCAGGTACCTCAGATGATCGCGGGAAGGCGAAGGCGTGATCATGCACCTCCTCGTGTTTTGTTTTATGATTTTGGGAAAAATCTGATATTAAACATCTTTTGAGAACTATTTTGTAAACAATGATGATTTGTGGATTGGTTTTAAAAGTTTAAAGTTTTCATGAATTTTATGGGTGTTACAAACAAATTTGAATCATGATTACTCTGGAAAAATCCAAGAAAGGTAATCATTGTGGAGAATTTCTCAAACCAAGCACGAGGTACTTGATTGAGACCATACAAAGCTTTGCGAAGCTGACAAACCTCACCCGGCTGGTGCTGAATTCCTGGGGGAGGAGACATATAAACCTCTTCATGGAGGTCACCATTCAAAAATGCATTCTTGACATTCGTTTGAAAGATCTTCCACTGTCGAACGGATGCAACTGCAATCATAGTACAGACTGTCGTCATCTTTGCCACTGGGGCAAAGGTCTCTTCATAGTCAAAACCGTACTGTTGGGAATACCCTTTTGGTACAAGTATGGCCTTGTACCATTCGACAAACTCATCAGCTTTTGTTTTTATCTTGTATACCCAACGACAACCTATCGTATGTTTCCCAGGAGGAAGGGAAACCAAATCCCATGTATGAGTCTGATGAAGAGCAGTGAGTTCCTCAGCCATAACATTTTGGCAAAGAGGATCTAAAACAGCTTCTCTATACGATTCAGGTTTAGACAGATGATGGATGATCGCTATAAATGAAGCAAATGGTCTTGATTATGTAGATTAAGCAAAATCTGGAAGCTTGATGGACTTGATAGGACAAGTAGACCTCTTGAGGGGTGGTGGTGGAGGTGGATCTTCAATTTCAACAGTCGAAGGGGCAGACTCACGAACAGGATGAGTCGAGGAACTCTATGAAAAAGTGGGTGTGTCGTGAGCTGAAGGATCAGGTGGCATAGATGGGTCTCGAGCCTCTATCTCCTCATCGAAAGGATCAATATGCAGAAGATCTGACTTCGTTACATTGTGGGTTGTAGCAGGAATCGAGTAGAAAGGAATATGTTCCAAAAATGTGACATGTCGAGAAACATATAACTTCAGACTCACAGGATCATAGCAACGGTATCCTTTTTGTCCAACACCATACCCCAAAAATAGACAAATAGCATATATTATGGGCTACAATAACCCTAGAAATTTTCGATCACGGCTCCGCCCCGAACCCCGGACGGGGGCGCACTGCTACAAAGTCTTCTAACAACGTATCAAACATTTGCTCCGATACCATGATAACATTGCCATATGATTATGATAAAGAGAAATTACAAGGTTCTCAATGAAAAGCATAAAAGCTACAAAGAATAAGCGGAGCATAAATACTAGCAAAACAAAACCTAATTGGCTAAAGACTAAAGGGCCCATAAACATGTGGGCTAATAATATATAGGGTAACAGTAAGAAAACATGTTCCTGATAATATGTTCCTGATCAATATTCCTAAATTACATCACGTAAGAAACCATCAAAATAAGAAAACATGTTCCTAATAAATATTCCTTAGAGGTGAAGATCAACTTTGATGTGTTATGTCATCATCAACACACCACTGACTGATTGAGGGGGAATTTGGGGAAATTAGAGAGGATATTGAGCGTGGGTATCAATTAAGACATTTGATTCATTTAATGATACATCGACATGACACTATCAATTAATGCGTTGGCAAAGATTTAAAATGGTGTGACAGTCAACATTACTGACTAGACAAATCATTGTTGAGTAACCTTTTCTAATATCTTATAATGACCCTTGTAACACACGAAAATAGACTTTAATCCCCTAGACTACCATAGACTACCAAAAACACATTACGGACCTTTTAAAATAAAACTGAAGAGTTTATAGGGGCTAGTAGGCTACGGAGACATTATCGCTATCTTTAACTTTTGGTTGTTACTATTGCTCAAGTTTATACTTCCTTATAGGGGATCTTAAATGGTGATTGCTTCAAGACTCTAGAATTGAACATGAATTTGATGCCGATTTGGGTAGACTTTCTTAAACTTTCAACATTGTTAAGTATATGGATTTGTTTCCTAGTTAGTTTGTCAATTAGTAGGTATATATCATATATTTTGTCAATTATCTATCGTGTACTTCAATGACCCATGTGCATAAGTTACGTCTCTACATTTATTTTTTAATTTCCACAATGCTCATGATGCTAGGTTTGACTTCAGGATGTAGATAATTAGGCTATTCACGCCACCCTCATTCTACTTATTCTTACAGTTGGTTCTTCTATTTCATATATGAAATAGAGCGGGCGATTCTGAATTGATTAAGACAACAATAAAATTGTATGTGGTAACAAAAATCAACTTGTCTAGAAATAAACTAATTTTAAATCATCATAAAAACACCACCCACTCTTTTTGCCAATTTTCCACATGATATAATCAAACGTTTAGGTGATGTATATTTTATGGTAAGAATTAACCGTAATAGATATATATATATATATATATCTATATATATATATATATATAATATTATATATATATATATATATATATATATAAACATTGGAGTTCAGGATATTAATGTACATTATGTACGGATGGATATAAATTGAGAAGAATCAAAATCAACCAAACAGTGTTTAATATTAAATTAAGAGGAGTGGATCTCAAGAATATAAGCATACCTTGGCTAACATAAATGATAAACCCCAAACCCAAACAAACTAATCCCTTGAACATGGTAAGACTTATTCTACCTAATAAATAGTTATAGGAACAAACTAATATCTATGAATGTGAACTCTCATATTAGAATAAATCAAAATACTATGATCAGGCAAGTGGCTTTGTTATTAATTAAAGTGGGGGGTTTTTAACTTTTTATGATGATTTAAAACTAGTTTATGTTCTTTTAGTTTAAAATACAAAGGAAGATACCCTTTTCAATTCCTTGTTCCTAACCTGGATATCAAGTTAAAGAAATGACTATTATCTATGCCCTTTTCATTGTTGCTTCTTTACAGGCTCCGGTAAGTATAAGGGGATATATATATATATATATATATATATATATATATATATATATATATATATATATATATATATATATATAAGGCCTTTTGCTAGAATATACAAAGTGTTTGTTGTCTTGTTAGTTTCAATAACTTGTGAGATATATTTAATATTTCAGAAGTGAAATAGATGAATTGACTGCTAGAATAAAAATATACATTCAAGTCCAGACAGGCTAATCTTTTACATATATATATATAAACCCAAAAGTCAAACATGGCATATCATCAAACTTGCACAAGTTAAAAATATATATGGAATGACGCATCTTTGAGTCGTTCGAAGGTGTAAGTCATTGTATTATTTGATTTAATTAAGATAAGAGACTGCATGTTGATGAGTCATTGAAGTACAAGATTGATACGTGATAAATTATTAAAAGATGGCCCGTGCCTTAGTATGTAAGATTACTTGTGTAATTTATAAATTTGAGATACATACACATAAAACAATGAACGTAGAGAGAGTACCTATTTATTAAAACAAATAATAAGTAACTATATAATAAAAACTAAAATGAGAAAAAAACAAAAGTTGGGGTAAATGTTCATTTTAGAGACATTTAACAAGATTCATGGACTAAGCACGCAACTTTTGCCAACCACAGTGACCATCCGAGAATAAGTTTCAAAACTTGGACCTAAAGTGCAGAATAGTGGAAACCACAGGGACCAAAACTGTAATTTAGTCTTCTTGTAAAAAAATCAAAATCTAAATCATATCATGTCATGTTTAGCGCTTGAAAACCATTTCACTGCTTACCATTCCATCAGCACCAATAAGTGATAACCTATCTTCAAACACATCTACATATCCAAACGCATCTATGCCAGGCTGGCATTCCAAAGCTGCTTCAAGTACTCGATGATGTACTCCATGAGAGTCAACAGAGTGTCCCCCATGATGATCATGACCACATAAACAAACCTTCACACAATCATACCTATGAATTACATCCCTAACTTCATCATAATTCCACAAAATTGCATCATTCGATGTGGATCCAGGATCTAGGGGAACATGACAGCATACAACAACTTTTTGGTTCGAGTTTGTTGCATCTTGGAGTATGTTGTCTAACCATTTCAACTGTTCTTTCCCAACTCCACCATTGAATTTCACAAATCTTCTTTCAAGATTCACTAGCCCATTAGGACTATCTTTGTTGGAATTAGGGTTTTTTTCGTTTAGAAAGTTCAAGGCTTGAATTGTGTGAGGATGATCATGAGGCCAACCAATTGCGCTGATGTCATACCCATCAAGAACAACGAATCTGTATTCTGGGATTGGGGAAAAATCATAGTAAGCATGGGGATGATGACTAGGAATGGACAACAATGGAAGCAACTTGCTGCGAGGAAGATTGTAGAGACAGTGGTTTCCGATTATATGATATGTAGGACCATTGAAATTTTGAAATTCTTTAATTACTTTACAAACAGCATCTAGTGATTGGTCTTTGGGACATTTTCCATCAACAATGTCGCCAAGATTTAGTGAGAATTTGATATCTTGGTGATTATTCCATTTCTTTACTGCTCTTTGTAACACGAGCATGCTGTTTCTATAGTATCGAGGTACACCAAGGAATGAATACCCATCGGGAATGTCTGCATACTGGACATCTGTGATAACCCCAAATGAGAAAAGAGGTGCTAATCCATTTGGGTGGCCCATTCTTTGATTAGTATCCTATGAAAAAATCAAGAAGATATCAAATTATGCATGATATGGTTCATGATTGTTGCACTTGATGTCAAAATTCATCAAATGTTTGAATTTGTATCAGGAATCAACCTAAAGTTATAACATGGCCAACATGTAAAGTCTTGTATGATCTACAATTGACATGTATTTGTGCCACTTACCTTGACTAGATTGGTAGGGCTGACGTATACATGGTAATTTCCTTATGCTTAAAGATGAAAACAATAAAGAATAGCTTATCAAAACAAAGGATTCTGGCAGATAAGGTCCCCATGAGAATCACTTTAGCAAGGAATAGTTTCAATTTTTAAGTGGTTTTGACTCTTGAGTAATGCTTTAGGGATAGGATATGCTCCACGAAGCAATTGGCCAGAAGCAGCATATTTTATATTCACAGAAATTGCCAGAAGCAGATACTTTTTATTCGAGACAAATTGCCACAAGTTTCGTATACGTATTGTCGAATCTAACCCTTCGTAAAGCAGTTCCAAATTCGTTGTAAACTATAGAATAGCAATCATGTATTATATACGTATGATTCTGTTAAGAGCATCTACTCTACTACATGGTGTAGAGCAATAAGCTCGAAACAATATTCCCAATAAATTAGCTTAAACTCGAAGCGTATCTGAGATACGAACTATTTTAGAAACAATGGCAGCCAACAAATAACAAACTGGAAATAACATATATAATTGCAGGAACTAATTAACGGCAACTACGAGAATCGAGTGGAACCATGAGAAACTTACAATCAAAGTGAGCTCCAAATTGGATCAACAGATAGAGAGAATGCAGGAAAGCGAGAGATCGTGAATCAACTACGAGAATCTTCAACGATGAAATAAAATTTTTGGGAAATGTTCTTCCGATAACAATGGGAAAAATGAGAATCTTAATGGGTGTTATAGAGAGACCTGTTGCCTTCAAAAGTCAAGAACACGGGGCACGTGACACAAGAAAATTATTTAATTTATAACTTTATTAAAAAAAAAAAACAATAGATTTAATACATTGCGAAAACTAAGAAAATCCAAAACAAATCGAAATTTGGACTTATCCTTTAAAAATAGTTCATTTTCAAAGCAAACTAGACCGTTCAACTAAAATAAAGTTTTTAAAACAATTAAAATGACAAGTCTGCTATTTCAAAAATAATATGCCCAACTTTATATTTTCAAAAGAAATAATAAAAGTTAAATAGTCTTATTTGTGGATGGATCTACCTTTTTCTCTTTGTTTGTGTGGCAACGATTGATTCTTGTATGGACAACTGTAAATTGCAAGTGTATTGTAGTAGTAACTTCCTATTCATTTCGCTTCACAATAGTTATATATTAGATTACTACGCAACCAGGATATTTTATACGAAAATAAATAAATGTAACAAAACAAAACAAACATTCTAATGAAATAAATGAGATTAAATCCGTAAACCGCCTTTTATTGATATGAACCAGTCGAACATAAAATTATTATTGTACTCAGCAGCAGGCAAGTTTTCCTATTCTTCAAGACACTCAATACATTATGGGGCTCTTTCCATTTTTAGCACCACCACCAAGAATCTGATTGATAAGTTTCTCCGGCAGTCTTTTTGTTGCCTGACAACAAAATTTAATTTTGAATTATTATTATTAACAACAGTTATAAGGCCCCAATGCCCCCGCAAAAAGCCCAATCCACATTGGAAATTTGTAGAAATATGGAAAAACTAACCTGATAATGTCTCATATGCAGGATTGGTTCACAACCTACATCTGCAATTAATTTCCCTTTGGGTGTAAGTAAGCTAAATCGCCCAGCTTCATACCCTCTAAGACCTTCTTTTCCAAGTGGTAGCCCATTACACACTTTCACAAGTGACGTAAGGGAGTTCATCTATCAACAACAAATATCACCCATTAATTTCCCCAACTAACTTTCTAAGCCCAAGGGTAAAATAGTCATTATCCCATTTTGAAAAGAAAAAAAAAAAAAAACAGACACTAAGTTTTGAACTGAATCTGAATAAATGTGCAAGTAAATGACCATTCTACCCTTGTGTTTAGAAGTAGAAGTGATAGATACATCACAAACTGACCTTCATATATGGACACGATGCACAACCACCATGAAGAGAACACCCCTCGCCACTTGCAACACCAGGAATCACAGACAAATCACCCAAATCAGATGAACTTTGTGAAGAAGTTCTTGTCATTGAATCGGATGAAACAGGAAAAACTATCTCCACACTCACTTTTCCTTCCCTCAAAGAAGAAGATTCTGGAGAGCCTAAGAGTCCACGAACTGCTGCAACAATGGAGGTCAGCATTCCTGATTCTGTTCCTAGTACAAACTGAAGGTGGTCATCCACATTTCTATCAAGAGCCTCTTGTACTCTTGTTTTTATAAAATCAAGTATGTTTTGGGTGGACCCCACCACCCCCATTCCTCTTCTTTTAGCTTCCATAGCTAATGAAAACATTTCACCAGGGACCTCAAAATGGGCTGTGAGAAATGCATCACAATACATGTCATTGATCTTTTCCACAACTTCATGACCAAACATGTGATGAACAAGGCATGTTCCATCCTGACAAAAAACAATTCATTACTAAAATGAGAAAGAAAAAGAAAAAAAAAAGACATAATTTGGTTGCAAAAAGAAACATCAAGACACCTATGTAAAAATGTTACAAATCATAGCAACTTGATTACCTGAAAATAATGGAGTCGAGGCAACAACGCCTTGATTGAGTTTCTAGTATGATCTGGATGTATCTTGGCTATTTCTTCATCAGTCATCAATGTCATCTGCTTGAATAACTCCACAATGTTTGCACCCATGTAGGAATCAGGTCCATACCACACATTCAAGTTTGGTACTTCAGCAAAAGCCTGATAAATAAATAACCACATCCACATGTATGATTGGATTAATAAGATGAAAGATATGTATAAATTGGAAAAGTGGTAGTGCCCAAATGAAAATGAGAAAGAACCTGTAAGATAGTTTGCACAACGTTTGAAGAAGTGCATGTAATGGTAGGTACAAGTTCATGTGAATGGGCTTTTGTTTCTAATGAGGTATTTATGTAAACAACATGTAAAGAAGGTGAAGAAGTAGTAGAAGCTCCAGATAGATAATCCATGTAAGCAGGACTGGATGCAGCTTCAGCCAATGAACACCCAATCTGTTCATCAGACATTCTGTACACACCAACCTGCAATAATCCCCATGTAAAGTCGCTAATTACATTAGAATAAGATATTTAAAGGTTGAATTTGAATACCTCTGGAAAACCTGCTTGATCAAGAATTGCACGAACATTTTCTGACATGAAATCTACACCTAAAACAGCTATGAATTTGCATCCTGCTTTTGCCATAGTAACAGCACTGTCTGCCATAAGCAATGAATCGGATATATAAATGTGAGGCCAATGCTTCTGTGCAGAAGTTAGAACGCCTTGGACCTCAGGATCCATGTAAAAATGTGCAACAACACCAATTTGCTTTTCCTTCAGCAATTTCGTAAGTTCTTCAACTTTTGCTTCATCGGGGAACAAAAATCTGGCCTGCAATTAACCAATTATAGTAAGGATTAGGATTTCAAGAAATGAAAAGAAGTGATCTTGTAAGAAGAAATACCAATTAAATCCCAACCAGATTCGTTATAATTTGTAAGACGATTCTTTTTCTATTAATGTATGAAACTATCATGCCCCTAATTATAGTATAAGGTCCAAACTTGATTTTCTTCTTATGGTAAGAATTAATCAATCACATTAAGCAAGAAAGTAAAAAACAGAACGAAAAACCCTTACCTGCGCTTCAGCAAAACTCCCTTTCGCGCCAATTCCTTCCGCCGTGATCACCATAGACGGAAAAGGGTTCCCGATGGGCTTCCCTTCTCGAGCCGCCACCAGAGCCTTCGTCCTTTTCTGCATGCTAATCAACACATTATGCCAAGTATTCACCCTCGAATCAATTTTCCCTCCATGCAAACCAGCAACATTCAGATCCCCCAGATCTTCCGTCTTCAGTCCCAAAACTTCCTCCGGTGTGGCCCCATCGAGCACCGAAATCAAACAGGAGCAGAAACCTTTGGTAATCTCCGAATCACTGTCAGCTAAGAACCTCATCTTTCCATCCGCGTCCATCCTCACACCCAGCCACACCTGCGCCGTACACCCCATCACTCGATTTACCGGAACTTTCAGCGAGTCGTCGAACTGCGGTAGAAGGTTCGCGTAGTGGAGGAGGCGCTTAACGCGGTCAATTGACTCAGATATGGAATTGAATTCGGATGCAAGGCTGTGAAGCTTCGATATAGCAGAGGCGTGGTGGTCGGATGTGAGGGACGGAGTAATAGCAACAGCCGAGCATGCAAACGTGGATCTAGGGTTTCCAGTAATATGCATCATAGGAGAAGAAGAATTGAGCCCCAACTGAACGGTTTTGAAGAAAGTAAAAGAGGGAAGAGGGAATCTAGTTGTAGGCTTAGGATTAATAACTGCGTTATTGAAGCATGCCATGCCGAATGTTGCAGAGTCCATCGCCGGAAAAGTTAAGCGCCGCCGCTGCCTGTGAAGAGAGCGAAGGTGATGGATGTCGTGGAGACTGGAGAGAGCTCGAGAAACCTTGGCTTTAATGAACAGGAGCGATAGGCGATATTACAGAGGCAATGTATTTTATCTTTGATTACCCGCGAAAATGAAAATTAATTCTATTTTTATTTTAAAAATAATTATAATATTTTTCTAAATTTTGATTTAAGTCTTTCAATATTATTACTTTGGTACCAATTATACAAAAAGAATTGTAATAATTTTCCTAGTAGTTATATCTTTGTTTTATATTTTGCTTTAAAAAGAAATCAGTGGTTATTATGAAATATTTAAGATGACTGTTGGTTGGAATCTGTAAGTTGTTATATATGTAAATATGAGAAAAGTCAAAAAGTCCACTTTTTATATAAGAAAATGCAGAATATTTTGCAAAAGAAAATCTAGTGCAAATATCACACACAAAAGACAAAACATCCGAATCTCATTTGATTTCCAATTGAATTTCCAACACTACTTGAATTTACACTAAATCTCCTATTAGAAAGCATTAAGAATATTTTATATGGTTTGTGTTTGCGAATTATATTTTATCACACATAACTATATATTATTAATGGATCGTTTTTCCTTTGGGTAACGATGTTATGAGAAGTGAACTAGTCAAGTTCGATGAAGCACTGTAAATCTTCGTTTTGTATTCTCTTATATACATTTTTTACATCTCTGTAATTATATTTGTATATCGTTGTTGAGAAATTATATAAAACCAGTTTGTGGCTATAAATGTCTTCCAAGGTTGCACCTAGATTTTTATTTTCTTTTACATGTTAAATTTTTTCATATAAGACGTAATGAAAAGGGGGAAAAGGATAAGGGACGTCTACCATAAACTATAATTTCAATATTATAATATTTTTTCGATGATTTGTTTTATTAAGATTAACATTCACAAATTCAATAGACGTCGTTTCTATTTTGGTTTATTTGCATGTTTTTCGCTTTGTTGTGCACTGAGGTATTATAACTCTGTTTTTAGTGTAAAAAGGTTAATTTTTGTTGGAACACCATGTTGACATGAGTTGAAGTTTGGTGATTTGTAATCATAAAATTTTGGTTAACAACATTGAGCTTGACTTGACTTTGATAGATGAATGTTGTAAACAAAGTCGTCCACTTAATCTTAAAATAAAATTGGACTGGAATAAGCAATAAAGATGAATATTAGGGTTATGAAGCGCCTTTGCCTTTTGCCATCGACTTGAGCCGTATATAGCTTTGACAACCATAAGAAACGTAGAGGTGGTTTCTATCGTTATAAACTTTCTTCATCACAATTAAAAATATATAATTTCAAGTGAATCTAAGACGTTTGTTTTCTTCTAAAACAAATGTAAAAACAGAACAATATGAAGTAACTAGCAGAAATATTTTGAGAAAACGATAAAAAAAAAAAAAGTTAAAATAATCTCAAAAGGTATTTTAAAAAAATGGATATGAGCGTGAATCTGAAAGGTATGTATTTGCATAGATTCTGGTAGGGACTACTAAGAGCAACCCCAACCCACCATGGAACGAAAGGTCGCCGGACCTTATTCCTCCTACTCATTTACTTTTGAGTTTTGACCAATAACCAACCCAAATATTCTCTATTTTGAGATAATTAAAAATTCCCGATTTTTACCATCATTTCATTTTTATAATTATATTTTATGACAAAAGACATGGCCATTACATTGTGGAACATAAGAACATAAAGAAAACAATTTCCATTACCCACCATCAATAGACAATAGTTAGTACAAAACATGAAAACAAGCTTGGTTTCTCAATCAGATTGAATGATTATCATGAAAACACCATATCATATCATAATACCATACATACCACCTAGGCTAGGAAGAGTTGAAGAGTTAGTTAGGTCTCTCTCTTTTCTTTTCTACATTTTGTTTGTTTGTTTGTTTGTACATAAATTTGACTTCAAGGTGGTCAATGAGATGTGTGACAGCAGAGCAGTAGGAACACAAAACATACCCTTGAGCTTCACGGGTAATAAAAATATCTACAGCAAAAACATCCTTCCTTCCTTCCTTCTGTGTGCAGATTGACCACCACATATTCTGTTTTGATATTGTTAGTATCGTCTACTAAGATTGTCCCTGGTGAAGAAAGGATGTCTTAATGCTGCACGTGCTGTTACCCTCTCCAATGGATCATATCTTAATAGCCCTTGCAAAAGATGAATCAAATCCCCTGCTGAATGGTCTACATGCTGCATTATCAAATTCTGCATCATCCATCACACACAACCAACTTAGAATCCCATTATTCGCTAAAAAAGAGATGAGATCACTTTGTATTGTATAGATAGAACTAGAACAAACCTGAAGCCGAGGTAGCTTCATCACAGCTTTAATACTTTCTCTTGATGTAGCCCCTTCTGGCCAATCTAACCTTCCCTTCCGAACATACTTCTCTGCATGTCGGCTGTTAATTGTACACACAAACAAAACAAAACAACTTAGTTACTTACTTACTTACTTATAACAAATAATAATAAGTACACACAAAGAGAGAAAAATGACTAACTCTGCTTTCTTCAACATGTGTGTAGGCAATGGGCCAAGAACCCTCTCCATCATTGCAAGATGTTCCAAGTTTTCATGTGTTTGAAACAATGCTTCCCCCTATCCAATTCCAAATTACAAATCAAGGAGGAGTGGGTTCAGTTGCTTATAATAGATGAAATGGAATCAGTTATTACATTCCATTAAATACTACACTAGCTTTTACTGTTCTTACCGAGCAACAGATAACTCCATCCAAGCCCTATATAAATCACAACAAAAGTAAGAACACCAACCAACACACAACAACCAAAATAAACATCAAACTAACAACAAAAATAACTACCTAATATAACTTCCGGTGCACGATAGTGACGTGTGGACACTATGTAGCTTTGGTCCTGTCTGTCATATGTTGTACTACCAAAGTCAATCACCTTAATAGCACTCGATTTCGGAACCCTTTTAGAAAAAGAACTATCTTTTGGTGACCTCGATGAACCCTAAAAACAAAAAACAAAATTACAATCACAAACTTTAAAAAAAAAAAAAAACACCTTATAACCCCACAAAAGATATAAATATAAATCATACCTTGTAATCAGGAACTTTCACATACTCTGGAGACACGAGAAGTATGTTTTCAGGCTTCAAATCAGTGTGAATCAGCCTCAAATCATGCATAACTGCAATTAAATCCAACAACACAAAATCAGAAACTTGAAAAAAAAAAATTCAATACACATCCAAGAAAACTTTTGAGACTTTTTAAGCATGCACATTAAGAGGTTCAGAGACAAAAAGAATATTATATAAAAGTGACTAGCTTAAGTGATTTACTACACACATGCAATACATTCCAAGAGTTGTCTGCCAATCTCCCGAACTAGGTCAATGGGAAATGAGCGATAATTGTTTTTGCGTAGAAAATCATATAAGCTTGGTCCAAGCTTCTCAAAAACCTGTTGACACACCATTTAAAAATGCACCCAAAGTTCTTAACCCCATAACCACTTTCTCAATCTGGTGAAACAAATCCACCACATTAATCATATTATCATTCATATACTTACAATACACATATGGTTACGATAGTCAAACCAGTTCCTTATTTGCACACAACTGCAAAGATTAAAACAAATTTAACAAAAAAAAACACAACACAACATTCCATTAGACAAGAGCCAAAATGGGAATTTGTGTAACTCACCGATTGCCTCCTTTGTCATGTTTACCAAGTTGTTGTAACACATCGATCTCTATCATTGCTGCCTCACGATATTTCTTTATGCCACGAACAATTTTTATTGCCACCATTTCCTTTCTTTCCTTGTCCCAACATTCCAAGACTTGTCCAAATGTACCTGAATTATACATGTATCAATGAAATTAGTCAATATAAAGATACATTACAGACAAGTAGATGTAATTCGTTCATTAAATGTACCCACCTTCTCCCATTTTCCCATGAATCTTATCTGCAAGTCACACAATCAAACAAAGAAAGAAAAGAATTAATCAGTATCGAACATATATATATATATATATATATATATATATATATATATATAGATATATATCCAAAAAACAAGTCAACAAACATAAGTTTTATGAGTCTATAAATAAAGAGTAAAAAACTATTGTTTCCTATTGATTTGTATTCTATTAGCAACTATGCAAGCAAGAAAATGAAGTTTCTTTGATGGTGATGAAGGGTAGTTACATCGGGAAGTTAGATTATCACCAAGTGCAAACACATAATGACCATCTTTATCATCTTGGCGCCATGGGGGAGAAGCATTTCGAGCCACACGCTTAACAAGGGGAGAACTAATGTGGTCTGATGGTGCTCGCTGAGGTGCAAAGCTTGCCACATTTCCAATCTCTTGTCCACAAAATAATCCTAGCTGAGCCTACACACAGGCATCCATACATGTTCCTTTCAATATGCATAATTATATCCTAACCATTTGATTTTTGATACATCATAGCAGCCCATTCATCACAATTTTCAAACATTGTTAATATCATGTCAACGATAACAACACAAACATGATGTTTAGATTCGTTAAAAGACACCGGAAAGATATTACTATAACAAACAAGTAGTTGTTCCTTTTTTATAGAAGACTCAATCTTCATGAATATTAACACGTTAAGAGAGATTAATCTCTGCGACATGCTATTATTCCAAGGTTCTCTCATCAAGAAACACCTTAAACTATAATCCTATCTGGAAAAGATAATCGGATAACTTTCAACAATCATACGGACAAAATAAAGAGAAATGTTTTAAGAAAAAAAAAAGTTCACGAAAACAGGAGAGCAGACGCATAATCGCAGAGCACATCCAACCCTGATTCACCGAACAGAACCACAAGGAAATCAATACAAGGCTAAATTATAACATAAACAACAAAACCACAGAAATCGTGATAGATCTTAAGTATATACATCGAGATTTCTAGCTAAATCAGAACACAAAACGATTAGATCGAGCAGATCACAATTTTTTAATATACTAATTTCAATACGATCTAGCAAAAGAAAGCACTAAAACAACAAAACCACAAAAATTAGAGAAATCGAAAGAAAATAAAAAGATATATACCTTCGGTGGTGGAGGAACCACATCCCAGCCCAATCTCTGTCGCTTCCTCGGCCTGAGATCCAATTGACCCATGGGAAACTCCGTAACACGCTCCATCTCCATAATCGTATGCGATTCGTAAAGAAACTCGTTGATTGATGATCAGAAAACCGACTAGGTATTCAGAGAGACGATCTTGAAGAGATAATACTGTAATCGGGTGAGATCTGTGATGGAAAACCCAACCCTAACGCAACCCTAATATTGACCAAACAATCAAGCGTTGGGCGGTGAACGTGCATCCATCCGTACACGTGTCTTATGTTGTAGACGTTGATAAAGCTTTATTTCCTAAGCCATTGGTGTGTTGACCGTGGTTAGGTTTATGGATCTATTTAAACTACGGTTAGATCTAACTATGGTTTGACAGCCAAATTGGTGTGTTGACCGTAGTTAGGTTCATTGGCGTGTTGACCTTAGTTAGTTATTTTATTTTATTTTTTAGTTAATTGATGAGGCTTTATTTCCTAACATGTTTTTTCTTTTCTAATAAATTACTATAGTTTTTGTCTTGTGGTTGTTATTAATCTGGAGTTTTAGTTTAACTTTTTTTTTAATTATAATGATTTTTTTATTGGTTTTAAAATCATTAAAGGACAGATTGTATAACCATAAGACCAACTCTAATGAATACATAAAACTAGTATTTTGATGTGAAAATGCATTTCAATAGATTAAACTCAACACAAAAATAATATGATTGAATAGTGGCTTTTATATTTTGTGTAATATTGTTCATCACACCAAAACACATTTTTTGAAATTTTTAATACTATTTTTGTTAGCTTTTATAACTTTTACAATTTTATTAATTGTTATAGTTTATATTATCATATTAAAATATGTTTTTTTGTAAATTTTTAATGTGTGGTTGGAATAGAAAAATATTTTAATGTTAAAAATACACTAATTTAATGTTTTTCTAATGGTATGGTTGAAGTTGCTCTAAAAACAATCGCATCACTTTTTTAAAAATTTAAATTAACTTTATGGACCAAAAATAATTTACTTTTTATTATAACATGCTAAAATAGTCTTTATAGTTACCTTAATTTATGATTTTAGTCTATAAATGTTTTAATTAAAAGCTCAAATAACTTTTTATAACAACCAACTTCTTAATCGTTAGGTCTTAAAAGTAACGGTTTTTTGTAAAAAAATCAAAATAATGAAAACAATAAAATATCAAAAAGTACGTATTAATAATTTATATATAATTTATATCGTAATATATAATAATAATATTATTTTAAAATAATTTATTTATAACTTATTATTTTTTTAATCATTTAAAAATGTTAAAGTATATAACTTATTTTATTAATCATTTCATATTTTTCCGTTAATTAACGATTTTATTCTATCTTTGTTGTTCGTATTATATTTGAATATATTATAAAAGTAGATGTGTTTAAAACACAACAAATTAAAAAATAAAAATTAATAAAAATGTGTCAGATATATAAAAATAAATATAAAGAAAAAAAAACTTTAAAAAAAACACATGAATTTGATAGAATGTTACAAGATATATAATTATTTGGAAAATATGATATAACAATAAATAAACCACATGATAGATTAATAGATTAATCTATCATGGATATTCTAAGCATTTTTATGTTGTATGTTTAATAAATATTGAAATATGAAATTATTTTAACAAATGTGTCGGTGCTACTCGGAGGGTGGGGAGTGGAATCAGCAATGGATTGCCTCCTACATGGTATCGAACGTAAAGGTATATGGGCAGTGTTTTCTACTCATTGGCATCCATTTCTCCATGTTTTTATTTTCTTCCTACTTTGTTTTTGTCTCAAGTCGGTATAGGGGTGGCGTTGATTCTTCTTCACTCCATCATATTCTTTCCCTCCGTTTTTACATCACCGGATGTCTTACGCCCCTAAACACATGTTGATGCTACCTCGCTTCCAATTTTTTAATTAACATAATAATTATTTTTGTCTCCAGATTACCTTAATTTTTCAATTAACATGACAATTATTTTGGTCCTCACTTGCCTTAATTTTTCTACTCTTCTTATATTTATAGATGGTTTTGTTACCATTTGTATGTTAGACAAACCAAAAAACATGGTATGCTTCTTGTTATAAAGAAAATTGGTTCTTGACAAAACACAACAAAAATATGAGCATGTTGGAACCCAAATGACACTTTGCAGACGTTGTCTTTAGCAATAATTGTCCGGATAAGAGAGCAAATTGAATATGTGATAGATGCACAAACTTTAATCAATATATAAAAGTTTATTTGTATTTTTTCTTTATATGTTTTGTGTAATAACTATCATTTTGTTTTATGTAACACTTTTTTTCCTGATTAGTAATTTCAATCCTTGAATCATTTGAGTTGGGGGGTGGACTTATCGACACGACTAATAAATAATTATGGCATTACTAATGCACGTCGCGACTTCTAATGAAGTTCACGACATGATGAGTCTGTTGAGCCAAACCCTGGAGGCCTCGATTTTTGGGCATACCCCTAGGGTTTCGTCATTATCCCGTCCTCCATCTTAGAGATACTCTCCCATGCAAACCCTAGCCTCATCTTGAGTTTTTGATGTGATTTCTTCCTTTGGTGTAGCTTGAAGGTGCTTTTGTGTAACGACCCAAATTTTTCAAAAAAAAAATATTTTTAATTAATAAAACACATTTGCATAAACCATGAAATCCCAACATAATTGTTTTCAAATCAGAATTCTTTACAACATATTTAAATCATCAGAGTGTCCCCAAAACATATCAGTGAAAGAGAGATAGAGTGCACGACGCGCCATCACGCCTTGCCCTTGCCCTTGGGCTTAGATGTACCTGAAACAAATCAACAACCTGTAAGCGAAATGCTTAGTGAGTTCCACAGAGCATACCACACACAATACACATACACATATCCTGTTAGCTAATTAAAGCTACACACATATCACATAAGCCATGCATACATAAAACCTGTAAGAATGTCATGGGCTACCCCACATGGTCTTTACCTAGGACTGCCATGGGCTACCCCACATGGTCTTACATCCAATGCCATGGGCTACCCCACATGGTCTTTACCTAGGACAGCCATGGGCTACCCCGCATGGTCTTACATCCAATGCCACGGGCTCCCCCCGAGGTCTTCCATGCAAAACACACAATCACATGTCATACCAAAACACAGAATGACTAACACATATATCATAATCACATAATGGGTCGGCCTTGGTGCCTTAGACCCATGGGTATGGTGAGAAGACTCACCTCTATCTGCTGATTACAAAAGCTGCTCTCCTAACAGACCGTAACCTCCCGAGCTGAATAATAATAATAATAATCAAAGTTAGGACTTTAAATTAATCAAGGGAACCCAAACTTCAAACCCTTCCATACGGCCCAATTATCCTTCCTTTGTTAATGGGCCCAAAATCCAAGTCCAAGATCATTAATGGGCCTCTTGGAGCAACAAGGCCCAATCAATATATCCATGGCCCATAGCAGATGATATGACTCACAAATCCTATAATGCAACTATGCCTAATGACCAAATGAGGCCCAAAAGCTCCAAGGCCCAAAACAGATTCGGGCCCAACTGTGATGCATACGCTCGGCGTACCATCCTGGTACGCGCAACGTACTGGGGTATTGGGACTACGCGCGGTGTTCACTGGGTTACGCCCAGCGTACTACCAGATTAAGCACTTCCTCCATTAAGTGCTTAATACTCGATTCCTTTACGTCTAAAAGCCATATCTAAGTTTGATAAGACGTCCTAAGGCATAAAGTTGGCAACTCTATGCCTTTGCATGCCTCATATACACCCAACACCTCCATTAAGACCTTTCCAAGGTCTTTAACCCATGCATGAGGCCAAAACTCCCATCAAGACTCAATTTTTATGGTTCTAAAGGACCAAGGGACCTCAAATTTGTCATTCCCATCTTCTGGAGTTGCTTAACTCACAAATGGAGGTCCAAAATCAACCAAAAGGGACAAGATAGAAAACCCTATCTAGATCTAGAGATTTAAGATGAAAGATCCAAGCTTTTTACCTCCAGAAGCTTTGAAAGATGACCAAGATGCAAGTTCTTGAAGCACCAACTCGTCCCAAGCTTGCTTGACCACCTCTTCTTCTTGGAATGAACACTAAAAGGGCCACAAATGCACTCTTTAAAGCTCAAAATGGTCTCACAAGTTTCTCTGGAGTGTAACAACGTTCTAAGGCTGTGGAGGCTCTCTAGGGTTAAGTCCAAGGGAATTAAGGTCGCTTAAATAGGCCTCATGTCCGAAAATTAGGGTTTTGGACCCCTGGCGGGTACACCCACCGTACTTCTGGTACGTCCATCGTACGTCCAGCTCCTCCGCGACCATCCATACATAGTACGCTAAGCGTACACTTAAGTACGGCCAGCGTACTTAAAGGACCAGTTATGTTAAAATGTAAATTCTTGAGGGTTTCAAGTCGTACCTCTAACGCCCGCAGATTCGGGCTAGTCAATTTAGAGACGATAAGCGTCAAAAATGACTTTTTAATAGAAGATTATTTAGAATGAATAATCTTAACCAAGTCATAGTATATGTTACAAGGGTTCCGTACATATAAAGAATGCCGAAATCCGAGTTATAACGAAGAAGTTATGGTCCGTCGAAGTTTTACGGCAAAACCGGCACGGCACCGGGAGACGTAAATAGTGAATTTACGATATAGGACTTTTTGGCCTTAGTAATCTAAACGAAAGTCGTAGAATATGTTAAACCGAGAGCGTCCATAAAAAGAACGCCCAAATCTGACTTCGTGTGAGGAAGTTATGAATTTTCTAAGATTTGGCATAGCAGTGCACGACCCGAAACTCGAATTTTAGATCGAGCGGTTTTTGGCCTACGCGACCTAAAGGAGAATTTAAGATCTCATTAATAGGAACTCAACGGTAAAAAGACAGACGAAAACGGAGTTCGTATGTAGAAGTTATGAATTTTACGCTGACATTTAACAGTATAATCTCCTCATACTGTTAAATTTAAGATCGGTCGAGAATTAGCCGACAGAGTCAAAATGAAAGTTGTAGATCTTATTTTTACCTACATGGGGATATAAAGAACGTCAAAAACGGAGCTTGTATGCGAAAGTTACGAGGTTTAGAAGTCGGCAGGGTACTGCTGCAAAAGGGGTGACGTGGCACAATCTTGGTCATTGCTTTCTCCCCAAAGCTTGCCACTAGATGGTGACATGTGGCACTAATTTCAGCC